ATCTGAAGTTTCAGGGCTTTATTTTAGACTTGATGCACCTTTGCTCTGACAGAGTGTCGTGGGGCTTTGAAGGGTGTCTCAAATCATAGTCACAAACAAGGCACTGACCTCCCTAACTGAGATTTGCAGAGTCTCGTGAGCGGCTGTTTTTGGAATCTATTTTTATTTCCCTAGTGGTTTTGTAACTCCTGGGGAATGCTGTGCATTTTGTCTCATTGCAGCAGTCATACAGGCCTTTCGGGATCTGGTTTGGCTGTGTCCCCAGTGCACGGATGCAGTGTGTCGGGCACTGCCTAGCTGCGAGGACACCATCCAGGACAGTGAGGTAAGGTGGCTTTGTGCCCTGGGCTGGTAGCTGTTGAGGATGGGTGGACAATGACTGTTTGTCCTTTAGGCTCGAGATTGGTGGGCAAAGATCAGAAATCTTCAGAAGACTTGTTCTCAAATCTGTTTATTTCATGTCAACGCTGTCTTTCTGGTAAACAGCACCTCTTTAACGGTTTTTTCTGTGTGGTTCCTTCAGGGCAAGCAAGCGTTGATCTGGCTCCTGGGCACACATGGTGAGAAAGTACCAAATGCCCCCTATGTTTTAGAGGACTTTGTGGAGAATGTGAAATCAGAGATGTTTCCAGCAGTGAAGATGGAGCTTCTGACAGCACTGGTTCGCCTTTTCCTGTCCCGTCCTGCTGAGTGTCAGGACATGCTAGGGAGACTGCTCTACTTCTGCATAGGTGGGTTCCCTTCATTCTGTTTCCCCGAAGCTGAGGTACAGGCGTTTTGGGACCTGGTTTGGCTGCCTCCCTAGTGCATGGATGCCATGTGTCAGTGTCCTGGTTGTGAGGACACCATCCTGGATGGCAAGGGAAAGTGGCTGTATGCTACTTGGCCCCTAGCTGTCTGGTTGATGAGTGTAACAGGCTTACACTGTATTCCTCAGAATTCATTTTTAATAATTAAAAGTTAGTACTTCAGGAAAATCTGGATGATAGAATTCTCCATAAATTACGTCTCTCTGATTCCCAGAGGAGGAGATGGATATGGCAGTACGAGACCGTGGATTGTTCTACTATCGCCTTTTGCAGTCTGGTGTGGACGAAGTGAAACGGGTCCTGTGTAGCCCCAAGTCTGATCCCTCTCTGGGGCTTCTGGAAGACAAAACTGAGCAACCTGTGAATATGTGGGCTTCAGAGTTTAATACTCTTGCTCCTGTTTATGGCAGAGAACGCTGGGCACTTGTCACTGCTCACCAGCCAGCAGAACCCTCTTACGCTTGTTCTCCTCATATTGACTCCAGCAACAGAGACACAGGTAACGCACTCCATCTGGCATCTGTTTGTAGATGTTCTCATGTGGGTTTAAGATTTGGAAGATCACAGGGCTTTGAGAATGCTGATTTAGTGTTCTGACTATCCTGTGCAATGTGTGGCTGATCATCACCTCAGCAAGCTAGATGCTGCTGCTAGAGGCAGCTGCTGTGATTCCAGCCACCTCGGTGGCTCCCTAAGATGTTCTGTGTTAAATTGGGAGCTGCATCTTAGATGCTGCATCTCACATATTTATGTTTTCATTTCAGAGTCACTGATTTCTGAAGAGAATAAAGAAGTCCTCGAGGTGCATCCTGATACAGGCAGCCTGACGTTAATTCCTGACGTTTACCTGACTGCAGAACAGTTTGAGAAGACCTGGCTGAGCTTGGACACAAACTGGCACCTTTCTCTGCCCTGGTGTGGGACAGTTCATCCAGATACCATACAGACAGCTCTTCATGTTGTCCACATACAGACTATTGCTATGAGCAAAGCTGGTGTCCAGCCATGGAAAGCTTATCTCACTGCTCAGGATGACACAGGTTGCCTCTTCCTAACAGAGCTCTTGCTCGAGGCAGCAGAATCAGAGATGCAGGTTTCAGTGAAGCAGAGTGAGGCAAAGCCAGAGGCAATGCAGACCTTTATTTCGGCATTAAAAACAGTCATAGGGACAGTTGCTGGGCTGGAGTCCTGACTGGTCCCTGCTCCTAGTAGGATGGTTGCTATGGGCATGGGAAAAGGTTGTTTCTTTGGCTTTATTTGCCATACTTGATGCTGGTTTTGTACTTTAAAGCTGTGAGAGTGTTAGCTGCCCTTTCCTGGGCTTCGACAGCACCTGTGGTGTGGGGCTCACTGCAGTGGGGCAGGGTGGAGGGTCTGTCCTCTCTCTGGGCTGGGGAAGGGGCAAGGTGATGCATTCATGAGCCTGCTGCTTCTGGTGTGAGTCACAGAAGTGGTGTCTGTGGTGATTGTCACAAGACACTAATGTGGCTGATGGAACCAGAGATGAGCAAAATTCAGGGATGTGTTTTGGAGAGGGTTTTTTTCATGAGAATCATAAATAATTCAAAAAAAGAGTCCTGAGACTCCAGGATGCAGCTACTTATCTCACGTTAAGAGGAACAGTGCAGTGAAGAAGGAAGTATTTAGGTCTTGGCTCCCTTTACATGTGATTTCAGTAGTAGCTTCCCTACCAGCGAATACTGTTCTGCTGTGTCCGAGATGGGTGGACAAGGTACATTGTCCTCAATAGATGTACCTGTTTCTTTTTCAAGAGAAAGAAGTGTATTTTCGTGTTGAAATGTGTTGCTGTAGTCACAAGTCACCCTGTCTGAAGTTCCCCCCTCAGCTCCCTGTGGCCAGGGTGACTGTAAGAAAACACAGAGTGTGCAGGTCTTGTATGATGTGTTCATGTGAGTTGATGCAGCATGAGTTTTGCAGCCTGCATCCCTTCGGCCGTGTAACTGAGCTGCCTGTCCTCACACTGACACAGATAATGGAAGAATTGCTCTTTAGAGAATTAGCTGTATGGAATATTACATTTTGACCGGATGTAGTACTGTCCAGTATTGTCATCCTGTCCCTGCAATGCAGTACATGAGACAGTGCAGTGCTATATGACTAAATTTTGTCAGTTTTTAAAGTTCCAGTCTGACTTTGTTTTGAAGAGCAGCACTCCATCTGCTCTGCTGAGAGTTGGACTTTGCACAGCTTCATAAAGAGTATCTGTGTCCCAGCCATGTTTTACACAGTGGCAAAACCCTGAAGAATGCTTAAGGCTGAGGTACATAGGTTGCTATAACAGGGCTTTATGGTACCCTGTAAGGAGTGGCTTTGTTAACCCTATTCTGTAAGATTTGGTGTCACTTTTAATTTCTTTAATGACTGCCCATGGCCGGGGAGGGTGGAACGAGATGATCTTTAAGGTCCCCTTGAAGCAAAACCCATTTTGGGATTCTGTGACTGTTGTACCTTTTAAACTGCAATTGGCATTTCCATGCACTGAAACGCTGCTGTTCCTATTAAACACCAGGCTTTAGATTTTATTTCTCATTTTCCTAATAAAAATGTGAACCATTCCTGGCTTGTGCTGCTGCTGTCCTGAGCACTGTGACACTGCCCCAGAGTCCAGGCTTCTGCCCAGGGCTGCACGCACCAGAAGGAGAGGAGCTGCCTGAGGGATGGGGCTTGGATCAGGAAGTGATGCCTCCAAATCAAGTTACCCACCACTTCATGTTGAAAGATCCTGCTTTCAGTTCCTTATGACTTTGTCAAACGTGGAAATGGTTTTGCTGAAACTTCCAGTGTTGGGTAGCTCCTTTTGGCTGAACCTTGTTTTGGTAATATTCAGAAAACATAAATGATAGTCTGTTGTTAGTTTTTTCTCCGTAGGTCTTGGAGAACTTAAGGTCTTCTCCTTATCTCTAAGGGGAACATGCTTTAATTGAGGTGCTCCCCCCCTCAAGTAGTTTAGCTGAGAAGCTGAGGGAATGCAGTGTAATGTTGCCATCCGACTGATGCTGCTGTCACTGAGTCAGGAAAGAGATGAAATGTTTTCCCACTCCTCTGACCTACCCTCCTTGCTTCCAGCAGCCTGGGAGGAAGGAACTGCTGGAACCCAGATGGGTAAAAAAGAGGGATGCCCTTAGAGAAACAGGAGCAGGGATGAGCTGAGATGTGAGCATGAAGCCACTGGTGTGAGAGGAAAGAGACCTGGACAAACTCGGGATCATCTGGTCCAAACTTTCCAGGCAAAGCATGACCTAGACCAGATGTCCCAGCACCCTGTCCAGCCAAATCTTAACAGTGTCTGGTGTTGGGGAATCCACCGCTTCCCTGGGGAGGCTATTCCAATGGCTGGTCTCATTGGGGAAAATTTTCCTCTTGCGTCCTGTCAGAATCTCCCCAGGAGTAACTCCTGCCCATCACCCCTTGTCTTCTCCATGGGACTCCTTGTCAAAAGGGAGTCTCTGTTGTCTTTGTAGCCACCCTTTAAATACTGGAACATGGTGACAAGGTCTCTGCTGAGCCTTCTCTTCTCCAGGCTGAACAAACCCAGCTCTCAGCCTTTCCTCCCACACCTTCCCAGTCCTTGGATCATCTTTGTGGCCCTTCTCTGGACCCTCTCAAGCCTGTCCACATCTTTTTTGTACTGCAGTTGTGCAGCTCAAGGGAGTGACATGTGCAAGCCAGGGCCAGGTGCTCAGCATCTGCCTGATGTATTCATCCACTATTCTGCAGTTAATGTGGAAAACGGGTTAATTTACAAGTGTGAAGGGGAGCTGTGGATTTCACATGCAGCTTTGGGGACTCTTCTTGTCACAGCACATTCTGAGTCTGAAGCCTTTTCCTCAGCTGCCTGGCAGCAAAGCGCAGACCCCAGGGCATGGATGCTGCTGGTGATGGCTGGACATGGTCCTTAGAGAACCCGTATGTTGGGGTGCTTGGCTCTGGTCTCCACCATCTGACCACCTTGGTGGTACAGCTCGGGGCTGCCCACCCTTGCTGCGAGGCTCACGTGAAGCACGTCTGATTTTAAAAGGAGGGCCCTACGTTGTGTGTTGCATTTTGTTATTTGACCACGATATCTGTTACGTACTAATTTCCTTTAAGACTTGTGATGAAGTTGGTAAACCACAGCCTGCCGCGAGTTCTCTCCGGGCTGGTGCTTTCCACTGCTGCACACTCTTGACATGTCTGTTCCCAGTTTCGGCAGCCCAGTTGTGCTCAGTCTCCAGCAACATGGACCAAAGGGAGATTCTGTTGCAAAACCTGGAAAGGGCACAAAGCAAGAAGCTCAACAGAGACAAGTTTGCAGAGGAGTTTTTGGTAAGTTTGCTTAAGGCACAGGTTTGTGTTTCAGTTGATTTTAAAGGGAACCGCTCAGCCACTACTCAAGCGGGGATGTGATTTGCATGTGACAATAAGATTTCTATTAATTTTACAGCACAGACACAAGAGTTAACTGGGGTAAAAGGAATGTAAAGACTGGAGTAATTTAATAGTTTGCAGTCAAAGTAAAACTGTTCGCTGTAAAATGATTACCTGAGTGCTTCCTGTTTTCTACCTTGTGAATGTGCTTGTCAGGACAGTTTCACTTTGCCTGGTAGTGGAACTGGGGATATAGTGAGGAATATGGAGGTACTGTCCCTTCTCCCTGCTGCAATCTGTGATACATGTGTTCCTGTCAGGGATCTCCAGTTGGCACTTGTCATAGCTTTTCCTTTTTTCATTCCAATAGACCCCCTACCCCGCTCCTGCGCCACCTGCAGAGTAGGCAGCGGGTGTTCAGAGAAACAGCCTGTGGACCTGAGGTTGTTCCACCTCTCACTGGTACTGGGCACCTCGGCTAAGGCGTGAGCAGGTGGCGACCTGAGCCCCTGGATGGGCTGTGTCTCCAGCACTGTGCTGGCTGTGTGGCAGGGCTCATGCACGCATCCTCAGTGAGTGCATGTGCTTGACATCCACCAGTGCCCCTCTTGGAAGTTAATTTCTTGTTCCCTCAATGCAAAACTAGCAAAAAATGCTGATGGCTCTCACCTTCCCCTGCATTCTGCAGTGTCCAGCTGGTTGAGATTAGTGCAGTGTGCTGATCTGTGAGCTCTCTGACGTCTTTGGGTGGCAGGGACCAGTCTTAGGTGGCAAACCACTGTCTCGCAGTTAAAGCTGGTGACTGGTTGTTCATTTATCAGCTGGAGGAAGGTTGTTCTGGCAGGCTGGCTGAGCTGCTCTGAGAAGTAAAGGCATTGCCCAGCTTTAGCAGACATAGGGAAGGGTAAAACTGGTCCATCTGTAAGATCTGAGATGTCTCAAACACCAGAATAACCACTGGCTCTGAGCTGCTCCCCCCCAAGGCAAGGGCTGCATTGAGCAGTGGTCTCTGGAGAAGGTACAGGGGCTACTTATTTCTCACAAGATCCAGCCCTGCTTTGTCATACTGGCATTTCAAATACTTGGGAAAAGCTTAGTGCTTGGTTTCCAGGTGTCTGGGTTGGAGGGAAGTGATTAATCTGAGCTTGCAGTGAGAGTCTGTTGTTCCATGGAACAAAGTGCTGTCACAGGCTGCTGAATTTCCCCCTCTTGCTGCTGCGCTAGGGCTGTGCTATGCTGGTGCAGACTGCTGAGCCCTTGTGCATGGGCTAGTTCTAGCAGCCAAATGTACAGCTAATTCCCTGACCAAAAAGGCAGGTACAAATAGTCAAGGCTGCATTTCCCCTTGTACTGGGAAGAGATGTCCCCAGGATGGCCTGAGCTGCTGCCACTTTTACAAGCACAGAAGCCTCAACAGGCAGCTGCAATGACTTGCTTTTCCAGACTGGGTGGGATGTTCAATGCTATTTATTTCTCCATCCTCATGCCTCCCCTCTCCTTGTGTGAACAAGCATTTGTACATGCAAATTGTGGTCATATTACTGTAAATGTCATTTTTTTGTTTGTCTGTTTGTTCAAAGTCCCCCTTTTCTGTTCGTGCAGTCTCATAGCCAGAGTTTGGTCCTTCCTGCTTTCTCTTCCGGCTTTCTCATCTGTAGGCATTTCCCAAGCAGTTTTGTATCAGTTTATGCAGGGACAGAAAACTAAGGGGATTCAAAACCTCAGCTATGAGAAGACTGGCTTCAGTACTAAGAGGTGCCCCTTCCATGAAAGCTTACCTTGGAGTTCGGGGTGCACTGGAAGGAGGTAAGGGGAGGACGCAACCAACAACAGAAGAGCTCAGGAGGTTACAGGGATGTGTAGGCTACAAAAACCATCCTGCTCCTACAGCTTCTATCACACTGTGCCTGCCCCCATGTTCTTGATTAATAGAGACTGGACATGTGGTCTGACCTGGCCCTCCTGTACCTTCTTCCTGGCTCATTCCATTCAGTGCGATGTGACTCCTGTGATGTTGTGGCTGGAGACCAGAAGAATTTAGCATTTAAAAATTACAGTTTAATGTTTAAAAACAGCAATTATGACTTGGATCTGAATTGGAATATCTGTGCACAGAATCACTGCAGAGATGAGATACACGTTGCTTTTATCTGTGGTATTGCTGAGGGGTTGCTTGGCTTGGTCAAGTATGTACGAGCTACAAAGCTCTCCAGCTCAGGTGGGTCACCATAAGGTACAAGAGGCATGATAAACCCTCTCACCTTGCAGCTCTGGTGTGTCCATGGTCCCATCCCTTTGCTCTTCACCCCTGCACACCTTCCTTCCTTTCCTAAGGGTTCTCCTGTGTCATCCTGATTCTCTGGAACCCAGCAGTGATGTCTGGGCTGGGAAGGTATGGCTCCAGAGTGGTGGGAAAGGGAGATTTGCCCTACGGAGTATGAAACTGTAGAGACACCAATTAGAGAAACATCCTTTTGTTGTAAATCAAAAGCACCCCTTGGTGGCAAGAAAAGTGGTGAGGTAGACAGAAAATGATGAAAGGAAAAATGCAGCAAGAATGGTGCTTTTGAAGTTGCTGGTAACAAACAATGTGTCTTATTTAGAAGCTGATGCCAGTGAAATAAAATTCTATGCTTCGGCAGGAAAAAAGATGCTTGAACTCTCCAGGAAATGAAAGAGAAGAGAGATTCATACCCCTAAAGGTCTATCCTAGAACTCCTTCTCCTTTCTTTTTCATCAGTGCATGTAGCTGCTTTGCTCTGATTGATTGTGCTCTTTAGTAGCTTGAGCATTGCTGCTTGCAGCTACAGGTGGGAGCATCTTCACCAAAGTGAGAAAAATCCATTGATTTATCTGTCTTTTCTGACACCATTTGTTAAAGGTGGTTTAACATTGCTGCTCCTCTTACCTGGGTGCCATTTATACTGAGAATGATTCCCCTGTGTCTCACTTATTTGTGAGGGCGATGCTTTATGTGCTGAACAAATGCATCATTATTTCACTTCTGAAGCCTACGTGCCTGAGTCTAATGTAGGCACTGCCCCAGCACACAATTTCCATTCCTCAGAAGCTTGTGCTGGGACTCTCAGGCAGCTTCTGTCTCTATTTTTGCTCCGAGTACCTTGTGAAAAGCCACTTAGGAAAGAATTAATGGTGCACACTTGATTTGTGCCAGTGAGCCTGACCCCTATACTCTCAAGTAGTGTGTTGTACGTAGCACATCTGCTGTAATTTGTTCCCTTCTTTCATCACAGAAGCTGAAAAGGCAGTCAACAAAGTACAGAGCAGATAAAATCTACCCTACAGCAGCATCTGAGCAACCAGAGAACATCAAGAAGAACAGATACAAGGACATCTTACCCTGTAGGTTGGAGTATGTTCTTATTTGGCCTTTTTTTTATTCCTAGCTCAACACTGTTCTCATCCTCCAGTTGCCTGCGCAGTTGCTCATATGTGAGCATGTATCTGGCTGTCAGTTGGCCTTAAATTAGTGGCAATTCCATGCAGAAGGAGGCATCAGCTGCTCTGGGATGAGCTCTCTGATGTATGTGCTCCTCCAAAGCACCTTTTGCTGCAGTCTGAGGAGCTCAGCTCCCATGATAGATGAACAGTAACTGCTGCTTCTTCTGCTTTTGTGCCTTGCAGTTGACCACAGCAGAGTGGAGCTGTCCCTAATTACATCAGACACAGATTCTCATTACATCAATGCCAACTTCATCAAGGTATTGCTACTTTCATGGTGTTTTGCTGTGCAGAGGTGTTTATAGCAGCTGTTAGTGCTGCCTGTGCACAGCTGAGCTGTGCCAGGAGGAGCAGGTCCTCTGTGATGATGGAAAGGACCATGCAGCAGTTTCTGGGCTGTGCTGAGGGATAACTGATGTAAAGAAGATGTGTACAACTAGTGAGCCCTTCAAAAACACCCCTTGCAGCACAGAGGCACTAGGCCACAGAGCAAGGGATGCATGGGGAGGGCAGGCAAAGGACCACAGGGCAGGTGGTGGAACAGTTTGTGGTTCACAGCCCTGACTTCCTTGTCAGTGTTACTGCCTTTGGTGGGTGACAATGGTGCAAAATTGCCTGTGGCCAGAGTCACCTTGCCTGAAACCAGTGCACAGGCAGGAAGTCTTGCACTGCAGCACAGCTGAGACCCACTTCAGCAGCAAGCAACAGAGTAGGTCAATGCAGGCTGGTTCTCCATCAGGAGCTCCATGTGTTTGGGACACTTCCTGCACTCACGACCCCTCTATGATAGAAGATTTCCTTTGTTCTCCACTATTCTGACCAAGGGCTCTGTGTAACCTGTCTGCAGAACAGATCTTCACATGGGGATCACGGTTTGTTCTCTGGCCAACAGCCACAGATATGCCAAGCTGCACACTGCAGAGCTGGAGCAGATGTGGCAGCATCGCCTTCAAGCTCCCAAATACACTGCGAGTACTGGTGGTTCTGGGAGCAGATCTCACCTCAAGCCAGTTTCCTGGCTTGGGGCTGCCTTTGGGAGGTTTGCACACCATTGGTTTCTGGTTGCTTAATTTACTGTAGGTGCCTAAAATTGAACTATATAAAAGCCCTTTTAAATGATTAATGGGCTCATTCAGTAGAAGTAAGATTCAGAAAGAAGAATGACTTTATTTCTGCTAGTGAACTGTAGAAAGGTGTCTCCATGTCTGATCTGAATGCTGTTTTAGGGCGTCTATGGGCCAAGAGCGTACATTGCAACCCAGGGTCCTCTCCCCGCTACTGTCATTGACTTTTGGAGGATGATTTGGGAGTATGAAGTCCTGGTAAGGTGCAGATTTATATGCCTTTTTTTTTTTTTTTTTTTCCTTGTGTGTGTGGTTTTTTTGTTGGGTTGTTGGTTTGGGGGTTTTTTTTTGAGGGGGGGGGGTTTGTATGTTTGTTCAGGTTTTTGTGAAAAGTTGTCCATACAGCCAGCCAGGAGGCCTTTTTGACTAAGCAGACAGTGGGAGTGTCAGGGTTTTACTCCCGATGTTGTGTGTGCCCCACATCCTTCCTGTGAGCCCCCTCCACACTCATGCTGAGGCAGGGATCTGCCCGTGGCTGTCTGCATTCGGGCTCTGAATGGGAAAGGTCCTTGCCCCCCAGGGCAGTCCACAGAACTTCCTCACTGCTGATAAGTACCTGCAAGTGATGAGTTTGATTTTGCTGCCTGGATAAGAAACTTAGGTTCAGACTTTTCTAATGAATCTTCTTTCTGCAGATTGTGGTCATGGCTTGTATGGAGTTTGAAATGGGAAAGGTGAGTAATGTGTCAGAGATGGCCTGTGCTGTGACAGTGCCAGTGCCAGGGTGGGGAGATGCAATTTGTAATAAATCTTATTAGCAACAGCAAGTTTCTGTTTGATTCAAGATGTTTCCTGAGTCTCCAGCTGTAGATTCTTAAACCATTCCCAGTAGTGTAGCTGGCCTCTTTGGAAGGGAAAAAGCAGCAGCGATGGCTCCGGGGAAGGGGAGGCTGAAGCAAGAGCCAGGCCTCCTCTCAGCACAAGTTTTGTCCTGCAAAGTGTGACAGGAGATCGTGTGGGTAGGTTGGTGGTGAATAACCAAATACATCCTGCTTCTCACCACAGAAGAAATGCGAGCGGTACTGGGCAGAGGTGGATGGCTCTCCCCTGCAGTGTGGTCCTTTCTCCATTGCCTGTGTGAGTACAGCTGCCACCAGCACCGTGTCACATCACATGTGCTGGAAACTTGTGTCTTCTGCAGAAAAAGTGACTCTAACTTCTCGTTCTGCAGGAAGCTGAAGAGAAGAAAAATGAGTATGTGATTAGGAGGTTAAAGGTGACCCTGAATGAGGTAAGTAGGAGAGGACACCAGCTTCCCCTGCCCATGCTGACATCCCAGTCTGTGCCCGGGGGAGCTGCGGCAGCATCCCCTTGGTGGCACAAGGTGGCCCCAGACCCTGCCAGTGCTCCTAGAATCATAGAATCAACCAGGCTGGAAAAGACCTTTAAGCTCATCCAGTCCAACCGTTCCCCAGCGCTGCCAAGGCCACCACTAACCCCTGGCACTGAGGCCTCGGCTACACGGGCTGTGAACACTTGCAGGGACGGTGACTCCAGCCCTGCCCTGGGCAGCCTGTTCCAATGCCTGAGCACCCTCTGGGCAAGGAATTGTTCCTCAGCTCCAGCTAAACCCACCCTGGTGCATCTTGAGGCTGTTTCCTCTTGTCCTGTCATTTGTTACTCTTTTGCAGGAAATCCACACCATCCACCAGTTCCACTATAAAAACTGGCCTGACCACAATATTCCCTCATCCATTGACCCCATCCTGGAGCTCATTAGCGAGATTCGCTGCTACCAGCCAGGTGACAGCGTCCCCATCTGCATCCACTGCAGGTGGGTGAGTGGTCACTGGTGGGGAAGTGCTGCTAGACCTCGGTCCTCCACACTTTTGCTTCTTGAGCAGCTGCAGGGAGGGTGGAAGTGGGTGCAAGCCTGCACCAAGCTCCTCTTGTAGGGAGCCCTAAGGCAAAGGTGTCCTCTGAGGACAGCTAGCACAGCTGGGTGGCAGGAAAGGAGACAGCAGGCCAGCAATAGCATGTGTAGTTAAGAGACACTGGGCATGTCCATGTCCTACCATGGGAGGACCAAGCCTGTTTGCAGGAGCATGAGATGTGCCTTCCTACTTGCAGCAGAGCCTTACATGAGGTGGACGAAGCTGTGCAGGGCTGTTGTGACAGCCTGCACTCACTGTGGTGTGGGATGGGAGGGTCACAGGAGGTTGTGGATCTCTTTCAAGTATCCTTGTCAGAAAACACAGTGTGCTCAGCCTCTGACCTCTGCTAGCAACCCTTCTGTGACTGTCATTGCAGTGCAGGCTGTGGGAGAACAGGAGTCATCTGTGCAATCGACTACACACAGAAGCTGCTGAAGGACGGGGTGAGTGTCAGCCTGGTCTGTGCCTCCCTACAGCATCTGCCTGAAGCAGAGCTCCATCTCTCTGCCTCCTCCTCGCCTCCTCTCTCCCCTCAGTCTCCTTTTCACCCAGTCTGACTGCACGCAGATGCATTTCAGATGACGGCCACGCGTGCAAACTCCCTGCAGCCTGACTGGAGAATGGCAGTTCTCAAACCAGTGATATCCCATTCCCGGTTTGTGCTCCTTCTCTCTCTGCATCAGTCCATTGCCATTGCTCTCTTCCCCATTCCAATGGGAGTAGTCCCTGATGCTAGTACTGTGGGGCAGCACTCCCATTGTTCCTTCTAGCAGGACCTTCAGATCATGGAGCGTGGCTCTGCACTGGCCTTCAGTCTTCAATATGACTTTATTGGCTTCATTTGTCTCTCTGCACTTAAGCATCAGAAATCCAGCATTTGCAAACTAATACCTTGCTTTACTCTGACTCTTCAGTAAAAATGGGTGTGAAGTAATCCCTGTCCATGCAGCAGGCTGCTGGGATGCAAAGGAGAGGCTGCTCTCTGTGCTACAGCAACCCTGAACCCACTGATCTGGGAAATCAGTGTCTTGTCTTTCATGCTATTCAAACGGTTACCAATGCTGCTATCAAAAGTGTGTTTGCTGTGGAGTGCAAAGCAGGAGGAAGGAGGCACGCTGGTTCCTAATGAAAAATAGCACTTCAAGCAGGTCTTTGGTTAAAATATATTGCAATTGCAGCCCTGAATTTTGGACACTTCTCTAAACTGCATCACGGTGTGGAAGCTGCTTGGAATTAGACCTGTCTGTATGTTTACGTCTTTTCTCTTTCTTGCAAGATTGTTCCAGTGAACTTCAGTGTTTTTAGTCTGATCCAGGAAATGCGCACACAAAGGCCTTCCATAGTGCAGACCAAGGTACGTCTGGGAAATTCCACCTGCTGGGACCTCAGGTGTCCATAGTGGGACCTCAGCTGTTCACCAGGGTCTGCAATAAGGACTGTTCAGCCTGGAGAAGAGAAGCTGTGTGGAGACCTCAGAGCAGCCTTCCTATATCTGAAGGGGGTACAAGGATGCTGGAGAGGGACCCTTCATCAGGAACTGTAGTGACAGGACAAGGGGTGATGGGTTCAAACTGAAACAGGGGAAGTTCAGGTTAGAGATAAGGAAGAAGCTCTTTGCTGTGAGGGTGGTGAGGTGCTGGCACAGGGTACCCAAAGAAGTGGTGAATGCTTCATCCCTGGCAGTGTTCAAGGACAGGTTGGACAGAGTCCAACCTGAGCATTTCCTTGTCCGCAGCTGGAGCTTAGTGCTTGCAGTTTGATTTATCAAATGTGAATGCTGTGAAACTAGGGACTGTTCAGGAAATCAAGTGGGAACTCCTCTTAGCTGAGAAGCTGAGAGGAAGCTCAATGCAGAACAGCATTGTTTGTGCACCCAAAAATCCCCAAGTGCTTCAGTCTGAACCCTTTAAAAGTTGTGGCTTCTTCGCCTTCTGAGAATTTACCCTGCTGATGGACTGGAAAGTAGCAGCTTCTCTCAGGGGCTGATGCTTGATTTGGGTAACAGGTGACTGTTTGAGTGCTGCAGATGCTGGCTCTCATGTCTGGTTTATTTGTCTGGAACACAGGAGCAGTATGAGCTGGTTTATGATGCGGTGATTGAGCTCTTCAAAAGGCAGATTAAAGCACTCGATGCCCAGGAAGATTCTGCTGCTTCACAGGTAAAAGTCCCCACGACAAACACACCAGCTCTTGCAGCCTCGTGCACAGCAGCTCTAACCTAGATGCCTTCTGCAGAGGTCTCCTCTGCAGACCTGGAATGAATCCCCATGTTTTCTGCTGTCCTTGATGCCCAAACTGAGTCTCTTTTCAAGTTAACTCATAAGAATCCAGCTGTTTCCCTGAATGTGCAATCCTTATCACAGGATTTAGCCTCAAGCAAGAGCTAAATTTCCTTCAGTCTCAAGCCCATTTTCTGTATACTTTTATAATTGTTCAATGTAATGAGTGAATAGAAAAGCACCAGCTTTCTACAGCAGCAGCTGATTTCCATATGGATGTGCCAGTGAGACTTGTCTTCATGGAGTGCTTGCAAGTGACAGGATGACTTTCAGTCTAGGTTGGGAAGCTTGGGTGCACAAGGTGGTATGACTAGAAGTATTAGCCTGCAGCACTGCGGTATGCAAGTGAGGCAATTAGCATTGCAGCCTGTCTGTGGGAGACAGAAGGCTAAAATATCTTGTGAAAACCATGTCAAAGTCTTTCAAGGCTGATACACTTCCAAGGAAAAACAACAGCAGCTTGGTATGAAGTTGCATATAAACAAGAACATCCAAAACATCCATGGTTAAGCTTTTCTTTGCTTTCGTTGTTCTTCTGTGACTGCTGGCACAAACCTTACCTTTCCTGTGTAGCTGTTTGCAAGCTGGCTGAAGCAAATGCATTGGAAAGGCTAAAGATTACAGTTAGCTTGTTTTGTCAGAAGCTTTTGTCTAAAGAATTGGGAACAGGATCCTGCTATGGGACTTGTGCCTCAGTTTTGCCACAGGATTTGCAGGATGCTCCAAACCAGAGCTGAGTGAAGAAAGAGCTGTGAAGAGCCTCTTTCTATGAGTTGTGAACAGTCTGTAAGCAAAGGAGATGCAAGACCAGGCTGACATAAAATGCAGAAAATGGCTCAAGTCTAGATGTGATTTTATAGCTCCTGGCCAAACCTCTTCCCTGCCTAAACCTCACGGCCCTCTGTGAAAGCACTTTGCAGAGCAGAGGGGATGAGCACGACCTGAAGTGTCACAAGTGAAACCAGTGCCCAACTAGCCAGACTGGTGGGGTCCTGCAGGCAGAGTGGTCTGTGCAGGCTGGTCTGCAGGTGTTTGGAACAGCTGGATGGTTGTACAGCTTGATGGGCTCTCATTTGAAAAAGGTGCTGACAGGAATGGCTGTTCAGGAGGTCATGAACCCAGTTTTCAGCTCCAATTTGGTGTTTTCAAGTTGGTGTTTGTCATTTCCAAACTGCAATAATAATTAAAAGTACTTGGCACAAATTCCAGGTCCTGAAATAGGCTGTTTGTGTTCTTTGCATTCTTCTTCCTCACTCTTGTTTTCTAAACTTTTCTTTCACTAGGTACAAGCAAAGCATCCTGTAGCCAAGCCACTTCTGAGTCCAGTGGAAGATATTTATTCCTTGAGTTTATTAACCTGGTAAGGCCATAGCACAAGTATCCCCTGGGTTAGTGTTTTCAGTCACCCACAGGATTTCAGGAAGTGCATTTTTTAATGTGTGTTTTGTGACACACATTAAATGTTTGAATGCTGCATTTCAGTTGGCAGCAGGATCTGCAGCCTCCCTTGAGTCCTACTTTGACTCTTGCGTTTGTTCCTAACATAATCCCTGCTCTTCTTACTGATGTGTCTCCAAAACTGAGCCTCAGCCTCTTCCCTGCATGCCATCATGTGTCTTGTTCTTCTGCCCTTGGGTGTGTTTCATGTTTTTCCTACATATGAACTGAAAACATGTTGCAGAGCCAGGCTCTGTGTTCCTGGGGGATCTGATCTTAGGAGCAATGTTGTGGGGCCTTGTTAATAGGCTAACAGAGATTTCAGAGTACTAGATGGCTTCGACTTCACATCACGTTGCTTTATTGCAGCTCAGAGCAAGAGAAGCAAGATGTGCATCAGCGTCTTCCTCCGGTGGTAAAAAGCAATGCACCCCTGACATCGTCTGCCACAGGAGTACACGAGAGCTCTGGATGTGGAGTCCCTCCCATCAGACAGGCCATCTCCTTCGGCACTTTGAACTTCATCACCTGCAGGAAGGCAGCAGCTGCTGAGAAGTGGGGCACTAGGGATGCTCTTCAGAAACGCCAGAGTTTGGAGTTCAACCGCATCTCTCCTGAGCAGCTGCTTCTGAACCTGGAGCCAACGGGAGCAGGCAGGAGAGGACCTTGTGGCAGGGCACCTCTGACATGGACTGCATCGACCCCTTTTGTGCTGGCACAGCGGGGAGAAGGCTGGGAACGGGACAGAGGGGATGCAAAGCCTGTTTTGAGTTCACAGTTGCCAAATGCCTGTTCCTCAAGCTTTCAGATGAAGAAGCAGGATGGATTTTGCCCTGTTGAGCTGAACCACTTGAGGCAAGAAGTGGATGGCCCTCCAAGCCACAGGGACCGTGGGCAACATCCTTACTCTTGCTTCTGCTCAGCAGAAGACCCCTACTTCTCTTCACTCTCCTCTGATGAACCTGTGTCCCCAGTGTTTACCGAGTGCTTTGTGGAGGGCCAGGATGCACGTCTCCTTCCTTGTCCTGTGAGTGCCACACCACAGCCTGCTGTGGCCAGTTCCCTACCATCCAGATCTGCATCTCACCACACTCCCCCACTGAAGGATGAGAGGATATCCTCCCTGAGTAAGTGATGTGGCATGTGACAAGCTGGGCTTGGTCCCTCTGGATTGTGGCGTATTGAAGGGGGTGGTGAATGATGTCTTTTGGTGTCCACGCAAGGCTGTAGCTGCTCCTTGGGACTGCATTCCCGTGGGAGCCGAGGGAGCAGTGGTTTCATCCTTGCACTCGTTTCTTCCTGCCTTAATTTTTTTCTCTAAAAACAAGACAACATTTTTAGAACAGCATGATTTGGGGTTTTGCATTACACAGCTGCTCCGGACTCCCATCTCAACCTCTGTACAGCTCTCAAAGGCAGGCAGGGATTGGTGCCAACCAATTCTTAAAACAAGAGTGCTCCAAGAAAGGTTCAGAAAGATCCCAGAAATGGTGTTCCCTGAGGATCGAGTTTCCAGCTCAAACCCACTCCTTCCTGTAGTGCTGTGCAGCAGGATGCTGACATCTCACTGACATTGAGAGAACCAGGACTTTAACATTATTTTTTTTTTGCCCAGTTCTGTAGCCTTAAACTCATGACTTGCAGAAGGTAGAATTAATTATTCCTTGGTCTGGTCAGTCCTGGCTCAGTTGGATATTTCCCACTGTCTACAGCTTTGGCATTTGCTCAGTTTTGTCCTACTCAGACTATTTAGCATTCAGTGTCACAACAGTGTGCTCCTTATCTAGATGCTAGAGACTCAGGAAGTTATGGGAGTTGCAGCACAAGCCAAGCAGTAATGGTACTGCCAGCTGTGGGCTTGGCTGTGTGCTGGGCTCATTTGCCCCTGTGCAATGGGAATTCTGCAGCCAACACTGCTGGAAGTCTGCCCTTAGGGCCACACAGTTAGTGGCAGGTGAATTGGTGCTGAGGGCTGTTTGGATCTTTAACTACAGTTTAGAGGTGCATGGCTGGGCAACAGCAGCCAGCCCTGAGTCTCTAAAAGGTCTGTAGTTCTGCTGCAGTGTTGTGCCATGAATGTCCATGTTTCTCCAATTAGCCACACCGCCACAGCCAGATGATGATGATGATGATGATGATCCTCCACCCCTGCCTGAGCGAACCCCCGAGTCCTTTATTGTGGCTGGTGACTCTGGTAAGGGCATTTAAAAAAGCAGGGGCTAAGAAGTGCTCTGAGGGCTCTTCCATTGTTTGTTTGGTATTGTAGCATCTGGCAGTACCTTTGCCCGGGCTGCTTGGGATGGGAAACGACCTCTCTTGTGTTCAATTGCTTCTAGGACAACTTCCTCTGGCAACTTCTGATTTTCAGCTTCCAGCCGGAAATACACATATGGGAACCTCTCTGGAGCAGAGTGGTGAGTCTCACTCAGAGCAGTTCAATGGCTCAGCGAGACTGAGACCATGTAAGGTAAGAAAGTGGCTTTCTACCTCTTCTCCAGCACTATCACTATGCCAGTTTCCTTACTGTGCTTCCTTCTGTGAGAAAGACCCTAGTTTTGGCACTGTGTACCTTCCATAAATTTCAGGGGTCAGGACTGGAAAGAAGATGTGGTCTCAGTCAGGCTCCTCCTTACCAACACCTACTTTTATCCAAACATTATGTTTTGGGGTTGTAAACTCCATACATACAGTCACTCACTTAGAGAAGGATAATGAAGACAGGAAGTTAGATCCACTGAGGTTTACACCGCCCCGGGGAACAGGCAGGAGCTGAACAAAATTTAGGCATCTTTGATCATCCCAGTGTTTAAGTATAGCTTTGTAAAGTGAAACAATAAGGCGTAAGTCTATCTTCCATTACATGAGTATGGAGGTGTGTGTGGGAGGGTGTTTGCACATAACATCATTTCCTTGTCTTCTCTGGCTTGCCTGTGTGCAAGAGAATGACATTTGGTTGTGGGAATTTTAAATACCTTCCCTGTTTTTTGTTTCCAGAGTGTGACGCTTCAGAGCCCACAAACAGGTATAAGTTTAATGCTGGGATAAGCTATCTTTGGAAATAAGGTCTGCTTTGTACTGCTTCAGCATATGCAGTAAATGTCTTTACGATTTGTGCTCGGTCAATGGAAATTTTGTGTTGCTAAATAGTTCTGCAAGTAAATAATTTTAAACAGAACTAGACAGTTCTACAACCAAAGGAACTGGTAGGTTTTTATTTCCTAATCAGCTCTTGCCTCACCTTGTGCACAGTGATGTTCCTCATGGACCCTCAGGCTGAGGGTTGTCATGTCTTTTGCTGCATGTTGTGTGTTTCCTTTGAGATGACTGGGATATGCTGGGTAGAGTGCTGTGGACCTCTCAGTGAACAGACACATAAGTATATTTAAAGCTAGGCAACCAAAACTCTTTCATCTTTGCTTTCTCAGAGACAACCTGGGATCGCTCTAGCTCCCCTCCCCCGCTTCCTGAAAGAACCCCGAAGTCATTTGTTCTTGCTGATGCTGCAAGTGAGTGACAAGTTCTTTTCTCAGCATGTAACCAAGATCTTACACTTACACCTAAACCTGTAGATAGCTGAGGAGATCGTGGCCCCTCTGTTCAAAGCATTACCAACAGCCCTGCTCAAAGCATCACCAACTTAACTGCAGGAGAGTTCAGCAGATATAGAGAAAATGAATGCACCTGGAGCAACCTGCTCTAGTGGAAGGTGTCCCTGCCCATCGCAGCGGGTTGGAACTTGATGATCTTTAAGGTCCTTTCCAACCCAAGCCATTCTGTGATTCAATGAAATAGGGGAGCTGCTGGAAATTCTTACAACTGCTGCATTAGAGGGAATTAAAAGCAACAACAAAGGCAGAAGGACTCATGAAACACCACTGAAAATGTTCTTATGTGTGTACCCAGGTCTGCAAGCTACTGCAAGAAATTCTATGTGTCCTGTGGGCTTGGAGAGCAATGCTTCCGAAACATCATCAAAAGAGTCTACGAAATGCTTCAGGAGAAGCAAGGTAAAAACAAGACAAAGCTATTGAAAATGGAGAGGGTGAGAAGAAGAGATCATTCTAGCTACAGCTATTGCTACTTTCTCACTGCTAACCTTGTGAAAATTGCCTGCTTTGAGACCCCCTTATTTATGGCAAGGAAACAAGACTGCTAAAGATAGTCTGCAGTAGAACTTGCAAGCAAACGCACCGTCTGCAGTAGGAATAGAGCAACACAGTCATGCCCATGCAAAGGGCTATTCCTTGGTGCTATGTCCACCTGAAGCACTGGTTCCTCTTGGAAAAAAGTTGCTTGAGTGGAGTCTGAGTGTGTCCTACATGAGTCTGCTCATCAGCAGTCTCCTCTTGTGGCCCTAGTTAAGTATCCTCATGAGCAATTGCACTTTGGGATGTTATGGTTGGGCAGAAAAGCAGTTGAGGAAAACAGCAAGAAGACTACAAACTGGAGGCATTCAGGATGGCTGGAAAAGAGCCAGAGACAAAGTGGATGGCAAAAATCTGCCCTTCAGTCTCAGCTGCTGGGCAGAATACTTTCTATGAGATGTCATATGTGTGTATTTATGAGTAAATACCCTTTATCACAGCAGCTGATCTATTGCTTGCTACATTTTTCCATCAAGCCTTCTTTTGCTTTGTTCTTCTTTTTTTCACAGAGCTTGAAAATACTGAAAAGCATGAGGAAAAGTAAGTTTTTCAGGCTAATATGCATCTTCCTGATGACATTAAGCAAGTAAATAAGGAAATAGGTGGGAGTGAACTTCTGGGAACCTGAACTTGTGCAGTGTGAAACACTCTGCACACCGGCCTACTTCGGAGTAGGACACAGAGCTGGCCAGCTGAGGACCATCACATCTGTATAGCAATAGCTGCTTTAGGAGCACCCTAAGGATGCTGTGGTGCCCTTGTAATGCCCTTGGGATACCTTGGGGACAGCTCCAGTGTACCCAAATTACCAAATTCCTCAGGTCATTCAAACCAGTGTTGTGGGACAAATACTCTAAAACCAGAGGACAGGAGTGCTGTGGGAATGTGAGCCCCATCCTGGACTCAGCCCAATCTATTTGGAGGAGTTTCCCATTAGGTTCCCTTTGATCTAAAATTAGAACGCTTGGCTTGAAAATAGGACTGTTCAAACTGTTTAAAATACTGAGCAAACAATTTCCCAGTGGATTGCTCTGCAGTAGTGCACTTGCTCCCTGCTACAAGCAAATAATGTTGTTAAAACTGTGTGGTGCTCAGGCTCTGCTAGTGTGGAAAGTACTTAATTTTGTCTTGTGCTGGAAAATCATCCATGCCTGGTGCTATTGTGCATATGGCACTACGTGTTTTCCCACAGCTGTGTCAGACTCCAGCTCTTCAGGGTATTACCACAGTGACAAACTGCTTCAGTCTGAGTTTTCATTCCTAGGCATCTGTAGTCCATCTTCACTGACAAAAGCACCAGATTCTGCCCCGTCAAACGACTCAAGGTCCTTCCTTAACTTTGGTATGTTCTTCTCTTTGTGTTTTTGTTTTTGTGTAGAAAGTACCTGTTTTTTGAAAATCTAAATGCAGGTTCCAGGCAGCGTGCTAACAAATTACAAACATTGCAAATAGTGCTTATTATTTTTTACACATTTACAACTTCATTTGCAAACTGTTTAACAAACACATAAAGATGGAAAACATAAATGCTGAAACCTACCCTGACAAATGCTTCTTGGTGTGTGAAGAGTCTGAAGCATATATTTGGCTCCCCTGTATCTGAAAGCTTTTATGTGGCAACAAAGACAGCAGAAGACAAATACAAAGCTGCAGCGTTGCCATTAGGCTGCTGCCTTGTGTAATATGGCATAGGAGAAATACCATTTTCCATTTGAATATACTAGAGAGCAAATATTTATTAGATTGTGCATAAAATCTTGTTATCTTGATATTCATGCTATAATTACGGTATTTTCTGATAGACATTTTTGGCATCATTTGACTTACAACTACAGGATATTGCTTGTCTACCATGTCTTTTATATATATATATATATACATATACACACCCCATATATATGTATTAAAGTTTGGGAAAGAACAGAAATTACAAGTATTTTCAAGTACCATGTTGTCTTATCGATAACATTGTCTTAAGGAATAAGATAATTTATTATCTTACTATCTTAAGGAATTACCTGATCAACTTCTATACCATACACAATTTGTTGCATTAAAGAAGAATATTTTTTTTCTTAGGCTTTGCAAATCGATTTTCAAAACCTAAAGGACCAAGAAACCCACCACCAGCATGGGATATTTAGGTACATTTTACAGATTTGGTGTTGCAGATTTGTAAGGCACTACTTGCTCATTCATTAACTACAGTTTTGAAGTAAAGAAGAAGATGGAAGTACCAGTAGCTAAGTACTTTCAGTTAATCTATAGCAGGATGGAAATGAAAACCTGAATAGATATTTTATCCTAAGGAAGGATTATTTTTTTGTTGTGTTTTGGAATGTATTCTCTGCAAAAGGATGGATTTAAGCTCTCTGAAGCAGCAGTGCAAACTGGTGATAGGATCTAGTGAAGACTCCTGAATGATATGGAAGGCCAACAGAGTGGACCAAAGTGGAACGAGGCTCCGGATCGTGCAGCCACAGCATCTGTGTGACTTCACTCATGTGTGTAGGTTTACCATAACCAAAGCCACTTAAGGAGTCAAATTCCTTTAAATGTTTACACGACTTGGACTGAAAAAGATGAGCGAATCAGATAGTTTATCTAGATTTTTGGTCAGTAAGACCAAGGTGCCGATGGATCATACAGAAACTAAACCAGTGTACCAGGCTGCAGAATTCCCTGACCAAAGTACCCTTGCTGTCTGAAAAAAACCAACCCCAAACCCAAAACACCACCACAGCATGCAAAATATTGTGGTTTTAAAGCAATGCAGTTTTTAAGGATTTGTGATTGTAGCACAAAACCTCAGATGGTTATCTCCGATGACAAGATTTCTAGACAAATTCCCCTGCTATTTATACCCTCAGTGGGGAGGGATAAAGGTGTTGAAAATGACTTTGTATGATTATTTTTCTGTAGAAAGAGGAAAACAAAGTAGGTTTCCTTTTTTTTTTTTTTTTAAATAGAAGGGGAAAAAAAATCTACCTGGAATACTGTATTTTGGTCCCTGCTACACAAACAAGATGTGGACAGGCTTGAGAGGGTCCAGAGAAGGGCCACAAAGATGATCCAAGGACTGGGAAGGTGTGGGAGGAAAGGCTGAGAGCTGGGTTTGTTCAGCCTGGAGAAGAGAAGGCTCAGCAGAGACCTTGTCACCATGTTCCAGTATTTAAAGGGTGGCTACAAAGACAACAGAGACTCCCTTTTGACAAGGAGTCCCATGGAGAAGACGAGGGGTGATGGGCAGAAGTTACTCCTGGGGAGATTCTGACAGGATGCAAGAGGAAAATTTTTCCCAATGAGACCAGCCATTGGAATAGTCTCCCCAGGGAAGCGGTGGATTACCCCACACCAGACACTGTTAAGATTTGGCTGGACAGGGTGCTGGGACATCTGGTCTAGGTCATGCTTTGCCTGGAAAGATCAGACCAGGTGATCCTTTAGTTTCCTTCCGACCCGGGATTCTCTGATTCCAAGTGGGATTTGGGGAATTTGTTTGATCGCAGTCTGCTGACTGCTATATGTGAACAGAGACCTCAAGCTGGTTTAAAGCTACTATTGCTGGGGCAATGGCCCAGACAGCCCAAAAGCAACCTGCCTTATTTTTCACTGAAGTCACCCACTTTTTTAACAGCACAAACCAACAAAAGACCTTACAGGATTTTATCTCCCTGTGTCAGGTATTTGTGGGTCATAGCAGACCTAGCCGGGGGTGGTGGAGGCCTCACCTCAGTGCCTTGTCCTGCCGCGCCGGCCACCACGTCACACCACTTGACCTCCAGCAGGGCCATGCTACCAACCGCAGCCGCTTTACCTCATGCTCTGCAGAGCTTTACTTTGGGCGGGCAGCCCAGCGCTCAGCGGCCACGCGCTCAGTTGGTGAAACACTTTATACTGTGTGAGAAATACCGTGTGCTGCCTGCAGGACATTCACCTCCAAGAGCCGGCTCCTCTTGGCAGCTCGGCTCCTCTGTCCCATCCGCGCTCGGGCTGAGGTGGCACGAGGAGCAGCGTTCACCCCTGTGGACAGGACAGCAAAGCCACTACCACCCTTCCTGAAAGAGTGATGAGGAAGGGCTGAGGGACCTGG